GTCTCATCGGTCCCAATATATTCGCTTCAACTGATAATTCAAGGGACTCGATTACTCTAGAGTGTATTTTAGGGAGTCAGCAGATATGGTATATCTTTTCATGGATTGTAAAATGTAAACTTTCCCATCCATGTAAAGCTTTCTGTTTTAGATGTTTATTTTAGTAGAAAATTATTAGATTGGAATGCTTGCAAAATTTGAGCTATGTTGAAGAACTAGGGAAATTGTACTCCCTTGCCTAGCCTGGACTACTTGGCAGGAGAAAGGATCAATATTTGCTAGAGTGATATCAGCCCTTTGTTCACAATATCCTGCTTAATTTCATGCTTTTTGAGTGTAAAGAGGAGATGCAATGTCGTATAACCATTTGAGGAGTTATTGAGTTCTGATAAGCGATAATCTTCCTTGATTTCCTGTTATTCGTGTGGCATTAATGAGTTTGATTTCAGCATCTTTTGTACTTAAACTATCTTGATATGTTGGTGGCATATTCCATGAATTTATAAAGCATCAGCATCTTCCATGAATTTGCAAATCATCAGCATCTTTGTGACAGGTAGTTCACGATCGATAAAATCATCCTTTACCCATCACTACCACTACATACTGGCTGAAACATGGGCAACGTTTAAGATTTACCAAGTGTAGTTACTTATTTTAAGAAAAGCAATCGGGGTTTATTTTTAAAATTTTTTAGTGTTTATTTAGTTGTTTTCCTACTTAAATTAAACTATTGAAACCCTAGAGGGTCAATGCATTGTATTATTGGGACTTCAATTATTGGCTGAACTCATACTTTCTGCCTCTAAAATTACTCTCCTCTCTCCCCCGTTTCTTGTGTTTCTCCCTCCCTCTCTTTCTTCTCTTCTTCCCCTCGTTCCCCTTATTGTAATTGTCCAGTTCTTGTTTACTATGGCCCATCGTCACAAACACTATGCCTTCACTACCCTGCACCTGTACTTGTCAAACCACTGGTGTGTAAGACCCTTTCTCCATCTCCTAGCCTAGTAGTTAGAAAAAGAGTGAAGCATATATACCTGCCAGCTTTTCTCTAATTATCATAGATTGAGTACTCCATTGCTTTCATCATTAACTATAATCATAGGTTCTTTTCTCTCCTGCTGCACTCCGTATTCCCCATCATTATTGTTAGTTAAATCAATATTTCATTTTTTAGTTACAGAATGGTAGCACTATCTTCTACCCCGTTTTAAAAGAATATGGGAATCTGATGAAATGATATCTGCTGCTCTTGAAAATGATGATGATGTGATTTTCATTGAGATGCTTGTGTATATCATACAACATATATGTTATTGAATTTGTTGCATGCTGTGATGTACTTGTCTCTGTGAGTCTAAAAAAGTGGAGATCTTTGATGATGCTCGGACTCTTCCAATTGATCAGAGTACCCGTGTCGTATCCGACACGACATGGATATGAGTATGGGGGGTGTGTCGGATCGTTTAAATTTCAACCAGACACTTCACCGTTTTTCTTTTCCTTTTCCTTTTCTTTCTTGTTTCTGCTCTCTATAAACTTAGCGCCGCTTCCGAGAGGTTTTCCCTTCTGTTCTTTCTTTCTCTTCTTTTCTTTTCTTTTTTTTCCTCCTTTTTTCCCTTTCTGGATTGATGGTTTAAGATTTTGTTTGAATAAATTGTTTCTTGAAAGGTGTTTGTATAAAATGAAAATGTGTTCCATATAGTGCTACTTAATGCTCCACTAAGTTCAAACTGCAATCAAGTCCCTCATATTTTATTTTAATAACATGTAGTAATTAACTTTCTATAATAGAAAACTAAGCTCCAAAATTTGAATTTTATTCATCTTAACCTCTTATTGAATATTCATTTTCTTCTTTGTGAACAATTAATTTTGGTTTATTCAAAATGACATCTTGGGTTAATAAAAAATTTAAAGCTTGAAAAATGTACCCATGTACCTACGTCCGAAATTTGGACTCTTTTTACTCATGTCTTCGTATTTTATATTTTAGAAAATAAAATATCTGACACTTAAATACGTACCTGTACCCGATAGCTGTGTTTGAGTCTAAACATCATAGGTGGAGATCGTTGGTGTGCCTACGGATGCATATTGTTTGACAGGTGTGAATACCAGAGGGAACACGGGTGGGCATTTGGGGGTGGTCAGTGTGGGTGCCTTTCTCCCCCTGGGGATTGGTAGTGGTTAGATTGAGAGAGATTTTTCATATGGACCACATATTATATAGTACCGAGACTACTGCGAATCACAGTTTACTTGTAGAGACTCAGATTCTTATTCTTGAAATTGGATTCTAAAGATTGTAAACATGGAAATTTGCAGGTGAAGTATTTGGCTGAAGCAGTTGGTGCTGGAATTGGAGGTTCCTTACCAGGATTTATGAAGAAAGTTTTCAATGGTTAAATAACATACGAAGATGATTCGGAAAATTTCATTGCGAGAAACCTTCTCTTAGGGGTTCGGCTTTTCTAAGTTTAAAGTTGCAATATTTCGGCTTTTCTGAGTTTAAAGTTGCAATATCTCGCCTCTTTTCTAATTACCCCTCAATTCTTACAGATTCTTTTTGTTTCGTTGTCTAGAAGTTGTTGAGAAAAATGTGTTTCCTGTTGGCATGGGCTTGGAATGTGAACCAGTTCTATTGGTAGTTTGTGTGTATATCAATAAAAATTCCTGTTAAGATTAGACTAATAAAGAGCTAAAATTCCACCACTGTGATAGATATTTTATCCTTGGTATACGTGCGGGGATGTTAGTTTTTTATGTTCTTTGCTTATTGTTTAATCACGTCAGCTTCCATGATAATTATATTTAGTGATTCAGATTACATCATATGGTAGATTGTACAGGTAGACATGATTTTAGCGCAAGTAACATTCTTCCATCCTGATTTTGTCCAGATATCAGGAAAAAAAGGAGTAAAATCTGCTCTTTCTCCTCCCATTGAACCTCAATATGAAGTTCAGAGAAATACATAATGCTTAGCCAAACATGGCAAAATGAGATATCAACATAGGAAGTCATGGCAAAAATATTTGCATCCCCCCGAGGAGCATTATTTAAAATCCAAAATTTGAGGTGCAAAATCCCCTTCAGAACCTAGTTTTGTCCGTCTGGAGCAGATCAATTGAACAAGAACACCTACAGAAATATAACGAGTCATAATGTAAAAATTTATTACAAGATATATGAGTTAACAGAATTTGGACTGAGGGGGTTCAAGCATACTATTACCTTGAAAATTGAAAGGTAATGGAGAAGACGCGTATTATATCTCTAGAACAATATCTGCAATCAGAACAACAGATGTAAGTAATTTGTTTTAAGATTATTAAACCCGAAATGACCAAATTGATGAAATAAAGATAAATGGGTTGTGCTTGGTGTTTATAATTTGGGTATACAGGGGTAGCACAACCCGAGATAAATTCAAATTCTTCATGCGCAAGACTTGCATTCTGAGTCCGTTTTCACCCATTTACTTCCTTCACTTTCACCATCGCTCTCAGGCATATCCAAGTATTTCTTCACTATAGCCATTTGAGTAGAATTTTGTGGGTAAATCTTTTTCTGCAGGATAGCCCCCAAAACCTGTATAGAAAAGGCATCCATGAAGGTAAATTCCACTAAAAATATGGCAAAAGAGATTAACGTGAAACACCAGATCATTGACAGGTGAAATGAATAATAATATCCAAACCTTCTCTATTCTTTGCTTATCCAATTTTGTCTCTGGAAATGGATCTCTTAAGATGGGAGTTGAACTGAATCCGCCGCCACAGAGGAGTGCTTTCTTAAGAAGAAAAGACAATGATTTTTTACTAATAACATATGCTGGGCTGTGCAACCGAGTATCTGATTCTCTGCTGTGGATTACACTGGTTGGTCCCTGGAGATTACCTTCTTCATTTTCTGAATCGCCATTTATCAAGTCATCCGAACTTTTGTCGTGTTCCAAGCTAGGCAAACAGTCAATGTGTTTCTCCAATTGAAGATTACCCTTTGGTTGATGTTGATTGGAGGACAAGCACCGTTGAAGATTGGAGTTCTCTGTATCTTTTAGAGTGTTGTTTCCAAATGTTCCAATAGAAAACAATCCATTTGGCCAATCACTGAATTCTTCTTTACAGGTCTGGTGCATGATATAGCCTTTAACTAAGAAACAATGAGAAAACAGATGATCGAGGTCTTGAATTGCATTTTATGATTTCTGCATAGATCATTAGTAGTATTCGTATGTAAACTAATGAATGATCGATATTCCGCGTTAAGAGGGCTCAAATTAAGTTATTGGTTGCTTACGATACTTGATACCGAGTTTATAAGATGACGAGCAAAAATGTTGATATGAAGATAAATGCGATGTCATAACTGAAATGGAGAATATAAGAAATGAGAATATATGATAACGAGTATAGATAACACTAGTTGAGTATATGATTAAGTAGATGACGACATAGATGGTTGGCACATGCTTTGTGTAGACTTGTAAAATTATTATTATTATTATTATTTTTTTTTTTTTTAAATAAAGAGTGACTCAATCTGGTATAGTATATTTAGCAATGAGCCCAAATCAGAGAGAGATTATTTTTCATCTAGCTTGTTGTAAATTTATCGGGGACAAGACTTGCCCCTATTTGTTTTCCATTCTCTCTCCATTAAAATGAAAAATATAACCGTTATTCATCATATCAAGCCACCAAATTTGAATTTCTATATTTTGTGTGGGGTCCATAATAATTATATTTTTCATTCTCATTTTTACAAAAATTGGAAATAAACTTGTGATACTAAGCAGTTTTGGTATGACAGTCTACAGAATTAATATGAAGTGACACTCACTACCAACCTTCTATTTGAAGGAAATACAATACAACAAAACATGTTCTTTCTTGTTAAAATTAATCATAAAGAATTATGAACTCATACCATTTGCTGATGCTGAATTTGGTTTGCTTCTCCTTTCTTTTCCACTAAGCTTGTTTTGCATCCAACTAAATATCTGAATCAATCATCATCAACCGAAGTACATTAAAATCCGTAAACCATGCACCATTATGTTAAAAAGTGAGGGTTTTAAACTTTGAAGCCATTACCTTCATCTGTATATGGAGAATCAGAATTGCTGAAATAGGGGATTTGTTGAGGGTGGAAACTGAAATATTGTGTATGCAGCGAATCCCACAACCGAAAAGAAGTTATATTTGGAACCTTTATAATGGATGGTGGTAGGTGAGGTGAGGCAGGGTAGGGTGGGTAAGGGGAGAAATTTCTTCACAGCCTAGCTGTTCGGTCTTTATTAAGTTCAATTTTGTTATATGTACATTGTGGTTGACATCAAGTTTGACATGAAAACAATTTTTTAACCACACTTCTTTAAATCAATGACACGATTTTCTACACATGGAAAAACCTGTTTGGCCAACGGCCGCACCTCCAATAGGGGCGCCTTGTTGTTTGGCTTGGATTTAACCCTGGCCAAATAGCACGGTTGTCTACACATTACACAATGTCAAACTTAATGTACAAATCCTATTAAGTTTGACATCTCTTATTACGTACTTCTAACTCATCTTTTGAGCACGACAGCATATTTGTACTTTCATTAACATCAACTATAGGTTTGAGTTTTGACTCTCCCATGAATCTTCTTGTTGAATCACTCAGTAAAAAAAACTAAAATGATTAGAGAAAAAATAAATTTATTCAATTTCAGTAAACCTAATTGAAAATCCCATCTTCTTATTCTAGTATCTGTTCTTCAAAATCCCTAAAATCCATGGCCTTGACCCCAAAACCATCTATGCACGTGAACTTGTCCATTCCCACATGGGAATTGGGATCTTACCATTTCAACACAAAATTGAAGCAACAATCTGGGAAAGTGATTATTCTATGGCAACTTGGACAGATTTCCCAGAGGACTCTCTACGCGTCAATCTCTGACATTTTGATTGATGTTCATCATCTGCATTGTGCCAACACGTGTGTTTTTCAAAGGATTCATTCTTAACAATCTCCGAACTCGATATTCCAAGGAGAGAATCATTGGAAAACATTTATTTCTTTATCTCTTGTTAAAAATTCGAGCTCCCAAACTCTTCTCCAATTATCTGCTTGCAGCCTACCTTTTTTTGTTTATATCCATGCAAATGTTCCTTACGTGCATTCCAATTCATTAAACTAACGAATCACAAATTTCTATGTAAAGTCTTTCTTGACTGAAATAGAATTTGCGTTGATCGTTAGCCTCTAGATTTGTGATTAATTAATATAACAATAACAACAAACTAAGCCTTATTCTTAATGCATTTGGAGTTAACTACATGATCCTTCTGCTATATACCATTTTATTCATAGCTAGACTTATGGAGACATCCAAAACGACTACATCCTTATCAACCTTAATTTTGATCGTCTCCTTTAACTTGGCTCTACCAAAATCATGTCACTCTTACCGGTTGTGGCTTTATTAGGTCGAATGCAAATTAAGACCCAACCACTTATGTTTTCCTTATGTTAATTTATTCTAAACCGGCCTCACCACCAAATGTATACTTACAATAATGTCACGTAGCATTCACAAGTGCTATAACACCAGTCCGTGGCTGCAAGCGTTAAGACATCTTAAATGTGACTTATTTCTCTACCTTAAGGTAGTTTATCAATTAATGACATTGCATGTCACCTAAACTGGTGTTTAGTACCAATAGTGCTAAATAATATTACTCATATTCTTAGTTAATATCTGTCTTATTATGATTGCATTTGCTATCTTTTCGACTAAATAATTTCATCAAAAAACATAATAACATTCAAAAGCTCCAATCGTGGTAGAGAACATATATTAAATTGGTGGTCCTATCATTTCAAAGAGGTAAACGTCAATCGTGTATGCATGCTTAAGAGTCTTTGACCAATCAAGAACAGTCTTAATTAAGTTATAATAATATTAATTTTGTGGTCCACCAACATTCTCGTACATGAATTGACATCTTGACGCTAATTATTTTTGCACCTATTGCCAAGAGTCTTCTTACCCAATTAAGATTCAAACGTAGAGAGAAGTGAAATGGCAAACAATTTTATTTGGTAGTAATTTGTATACAACTTTATCCTACATCCATCTGCACTCGGAAATGACTTATTCAAAGAAATAAAATTTGGTTTACTTGAAAATGATTTTGAATACTGTATGTGCATTCTTAGCACTTATACTAGAGCTCTTTGGTGTGTATGGCGATGGAGAGTCCACAAATAATTGTATTCGAGTGCTATTCTTCTATCCACGCATAATAAAAAAATACTCTTGGCAACAAATTGAAATCTGCTCCCATTCTATTTTAGTCATCTATAGAAATATCCACTGATTCCGTGAGTTAAACAAACAGGTTTGCACTCCTGACATGATTTTAAAGAAATACACTTTGTCAAAATATACCAGATGATGCATGTCTTGAGTTATTTAATCAACTGTTTTTATCAAATTTATTTCTTTCTCAATTTATTTAATTAAGGAGTTCCATATCTTGTCATACCTTGTGGGCATGGAGTACATTCTTCTTTCTTTTTCCATTTCATTCTTATCGCTCACTGGTTCTTTCAGGTACCCTTATATCACAGCATTGCCTAATGCGACTCACCAAAGACTTGAGGCTATTGTATTTTGCGACTTGGTGGTAAGGGTATTGTTTTATTGTGTCATTTTGGAGTCCTTCCCAGATAAGGAAAATTTCAAACTGGATAGCAGGTGTTGACCTTGGTATTCGTAGGGTAATGTGGCCAACAGGTAAATACTTCGTGCACGCGGTAGCAAACCATTAGTCACTCTTGGCCTTTTCTGGTGGCGGTGGAGGCGATCGCGAGTGCTCTGACGGTAAAGTCAATGAATATTCATGAATAAAAGAAATAACACACTCTAATATCAAGACAATAGAGCAATGTGTATGTTTAAGTGTATAAGATTGCATTACCCTTGAAATGGAAATAAGTGTGAGTATTTATAGGGAAAGATGCGAATTTAAGACTGTTGGATGGAGGGACACGTGGCCGCACCTATTGACTGATGCGTCCTCTCATAGGGATCGATCAATTAGTCTCTAGGTGGGCTGACATTTAATACTCCCTAATGAGTGGATTTTGTAATTTGACATTTTGGCGTTTGCTGTATAAATATCATATTAATCAATTGTGTGGATCTTATTTTACTAGATCTTTGCATAAAATATCTCCTATTTAATTTAATATAGACGAGGCGACGTGATATTGTCCCAATAGACGTCATTCCACCTCTTATTACTTCGGTGCATATCCTTCAGAGGCGAATCACTTTGGGGCCTTAGTCTAACCACGGATGTACAAGTGGATTATTTCACCTCGGCACCTAGATGGTGTGGGCTGACATGGACCGCGGAGATTCGCTTAGTTGGCTGCCATGTTGACAATGATCTGGAGGCTCTTCATACGAGGTGTAACAAGAAGATTTTCTGATTTGCATAGAGGTAATTAAGTAACAGAGATTACCTTTGTGAAATTCAAAATTTAAATGCCTTAATTGTCTAAAACCTAGTCATGAATTTAGTTATCTATATCTTTGCAGTGTTGAAATTTATCCTAGTATTTGGATTGGATCCTGAGTAATACATATATCTAGCTCCCAATTTTTTTAAATTCTCTTTGACAGGGTTTATTGTACCTTCCTTCTTTCATGCTCTTTCTGTAACAGATGGCAGTCGTAGCTATTGCTTACATTTTCATCTTCTCTGCAAAATGTATGTACCCATTTCATACCTTTATCTGAGCATGCGGAGATCACCATGCAAAAGACACAACAATACCAAGCAATTCATTCAAAATAAAGGAATGAAGCAGGTCAAGCAAGCGTGCCAATCAAAGAAAAACGTCAGAATGTGTAGAGCTTGGGCCTGTCATCGAGCTTGACTAAAAAGGAAAAATTGAAAAGGTCTGTGTGGGTTGGTCATTGGTTTAATAGAGCTAAGCTAGATTCAGGCCACCTCTCTATATGGGACACATGCCATCGTGGCTGGCTCACTTGAACCTAATTGGTCTTTATTAAATTTGGCATCTATTATTACATACTTTGTACTTTCATTAACATCATCTGTAGGTTTGAGTTTTGAACTCGACCTTGAATCTTCTTGTTGAATCACTTGGTATAAAAACTTAAATTAGGAGAGAAAAAAATAAATTTATTCAATTTCGGCAAACCTAATTGAAAATCACATCATCTTAGTATCTGTTCTTCAAAATCCCCAAAATCCATGGCCTTGATCCCACATTCTATTACTCGAGGCTCGCCTTCAAAACCACGTGAACTTGTCCATTCCCACATGGGAATTGGGATCTTACCATTTCAACACAAAATTGAAGCAACAATCTGTATATATTGTCTGTGTATGTGATTATTCTACAGCAACTTGGACAGATTTCCCAGAGGCCCATCTACGCGTCAGTCTCTGTAGTTTTGATTGATGTTCATCGTCTATATTGTGCCAACACGTGTGTTTTTCAAAGGATTCATTCTTAACAATCTCCGAACTCGATATTCCAAGGAGAAAATCATTGGAAGACATTTATTTCTTTATCTTTTGTTAAAAATCCGAGCTCCCAATCTCTTCTCCATTTATCTGCATGCGGCCGACCTTTTTTTGTTTATATCCATGCAAATGTTCCTTGCGTGCATCCCAATTCATTAAACTAACAAATCACAAATTTCTACATAAAATCTTTCTTGACTGAAATAGAATTTGTATTGATTGTCAGCCTCTAGATTTGTGATTAATTAATATAACAATAACAACAAACTAAACATTATTCTTAATGCATTTGGAGTTAACTACATGATCCTTCTGCTATATACTGCTTTATACATAGCTAGAGTTATCGAGACATCCAAAGCGACTACATCCTTATCAACCTTAATTTTGATCATCTCATCTTCTTTTCATTGGCTCTACCAAAATCATGTCACTCTTTGCAGTTGTGGCTTCATTAGGTCGAATGCAAATTAAGATCTAACCACTTGTGTTTTCCTTACGTTAATTTATTCTAAACTGGCCTCGCCCCCAAGTATATTCTTACAATGGACTCTGCTGATTGTACATGGCCACATGGGCCTTGTACTACTAGGGGTGCCACAT